TTTCACCAAAAATGTCGCAAGTTGTCTTTGTTGTTTTTGTGTCAACATCACTTTGTGAATTCAAACGGTAGAAGTGTGGAAACTGTATCATCTCAACAACGTTTGATTTTGAGATGTATTGGAAAAAGATGATTTTTGAATGAAAAACTAAAACTCAAAAAATAGACGAAAACTCATTGTCTCCAAATGAAAGACTGTTTTACATTTTGTTTTTTAATTTCAATGTTCAAAAATGTTGGCTAAAAAATAAAAACCCAAATATATAAAACATTGGGGGTTGTATCCAATTTCAAAGTAAAAAAGGAATATTTTTCCCATTTTTAACTTTATTAGTTAAAAAATTACATTTATAATTATGTGGTTTTGGACTTAATTACATATTTTATATAACTCTTATTGAAATTAAAATTATTTTAAGTAAGTTTAAATGATTTTATTTTTGGTTTTTGATTAGAAAAAAAATCATTATGTATGATGTAATAATCATTTTGAATGTAATTTATAAAAAATTAAATATAAAAACAAATAAACTCTATAAACATACATGGAAAACGAGTTAATAGCACTCTCAGCACTTTGCACTAACGCAGCAAAGGCGGTGTCAGACCTCAACAAAAATAATAAGGAATACAACTTTGTTGACAACAAGTCACTTGACATTGATCAACTCATTGAAAACGCAGAGGGACACTTCGACAGACTCGATGCTATATTTGATAGAAAGAAGAACATCACAACATCACTCAACACCATCGTCACTGATTTGGATAACGCAACCAACAAAATCAAAAGTGAAATAAGTCTGTATTCAATACAAAGCGACAACGACAAGTTGTATGAGATATTCAATATCAAAATTGCACTTTATGAAGAAAAGTGCCAAATGGATATAAAACCACTTGAAGACCAAACCTACATAATTGTCCAGGCTAAGAACAAAGCAGTCGATCAAATTATAAAATCAGAGAAATTCATCAATTCAAAGAGACAACATGATGAAGAAGCCGAGAAATGAAGAGAGAACACATTACACTTGAAGAAGAAGCCGGTCTTGAAAAGTTGACGGGAATGAAAATTGGGAGTGTTGTGTTTAATTCGGATAAAGACGACTGGTCAAGAGACACCTCAGTGTTTGATACAAAAGTCATGAACAAAAGCAACTTGTGCTTTTTGGTGGAAGACACAAATCACAACAAGTTTGGTGGCGTGTTCACTGGTAATATTAATGCTGTTAGCAAACAGCTCAACAGTGGCAGTTCTTACATCTTTTCACTTCTGAGAAGTGGAACTTTAAATCCAAAAAAGTTTGGGAAAAGTGGAAATGACACCGATCGTGAATTTTATCTGAATTCTCAAGACTTTCCACATCTCTTTGGATTTGGTTATGATGATATACTTGTGTGCAAGAATGGTCAAAATGGAAGTCATTGCAACCCATACACTTACACCGCCAAACAAAACGAGTTGACTGACAATGACAATTTCACACCAAAGAGTGTTGTTGTCTTCCAACTTAACTGACTTTTTTGTCACTTTTTTATTTCAAATTTTCAAACATTGCAACATGTTGACTCCAAATGTGTATTTTGTAATTTGCCACGTCATCACAATTTGAATTAATGTACACAGTTTCAACAAAATCTGTCTTTTTGAAGGGCCGGACAGACGGAAAGAAAACGGGTTGGGTTTTACCCTTCAAACCTAACACTGGAACGAAAACCCGATTAGGATATCTTTATGTTTCTTTTTTCAGGCATCTCCTCTTTGTGTCTTGTATCTTCTGGAGATGGATTCACGACGCCGCAACTCGCTTTTGCAACAAGTTTCGACAGTTGCGGCATATCTACTCTTTGTGTCCCGTTGTATCTTTTTGAAGTATGTTAATTGAAAAGTAGTTTGGTATTTTTATTTATTATGGGTTTTCTCAAACTACAAACTATAGTAATTAACTATTAAAATCATATCAAAATTAATATTTTTCATCTAAAAACAAATAGTACAACCGTTAATATAATTAATTATAATTTAATAGTTTGGTAACACAATTTATTTTTTGAAACAAAATATTAAGAAAAGATCAATAAACATAATCACATAATTAAAAATATTACAATCGACAATATATAGTAAATTGACTATTTTAAACAGGGTCAGCCAAGATCCAGTTTTTAAACAACTTCGTGGCAATCTCAAATACGTGTCATTATTTATTTAGTTTTAGCAAATTGTAAATAATAATTCAAATAAAAAATTTGATGTAAAATTGTTTTTTTAAATCAATAGAACGATAGTTAACAATTTGAACAACATTTCAAAATATTTTAATTAAAAAATGTTTTTTGATTACAATATTGATTTGTTCTATTTAAGCACGACTCTAGCGTTGAATGAAGAAAATGAAATGTTTGGTTGCCAGGTATTTTTTGCTATAGAAAAACCAGATTCACTCATTGTACTTGTTGGAAATACAGCAGAGATATACAAATAAAAATTCCACAATTTTGGATATATTTTAATTATATCAACATAAGAGTAAATATCAAAACAATTTACATCCATGTTTTTTAACTAACACGAACTCTATTTCATCATTGACAACGGTTCTAAGTTGAACAATTTCTTCCAACAAATATTTGAGTTGTAAAGGAATAACAGTTTGTTTGTTTTTTATTATTTTGCCAAAATATAAGGCAAACAATGTATAAATTTCCAAATTTGAGTAAACCAAATTACTTGTACTTTCAAAACCATTCAATTTAACACAATTAAATCTCAACTCAATTCCTTTTTTAATTTTTTCTAATATTTCCAAAAAGAACTCTTTTTGTGCCGAACAAATAACCACATTACAATTATTTATATTTTCAAATTCAGAAAAATCGTTGTTATTTAATTTGTTGATTTTTTCATTATTATTGTTGTAATAATTAACAATTTTACCAGTTTCTTTCACAATTAACCCATTTTCAATTTGTAAATTTTTGTTTAAATTGTTCAATTTAACAATTGTATCAATTAAAAAAGAAGTTATTATATAGTTATTTTTATTTTGAAAAAACAATATACATTCTAATATATCAACATCATCAATAACAGTATATTCAACACACATTTCCAACAATCTTAATTCAATATCGCTCCAATTATTGTAAACAAACACAATTATTTTCCCAACACTTGACCATCATGTACAACAATCAGTTGGTACTGCCGAATTGTGTGTTTTGCTTCAGATTGAATCTTCTATCAAAACGTTACAAATTGTTCTGAAAAATCAACAAATTTGCTGACAGTGGTTATTGATTCAAGTGATTTGGATATCAAATTAATTTTGTGACAATAACACCAATTTTTATCACATTGTAATTGTTTTGGAACCATGTTGATATATTCACAAAATAATGTCGCGGCACCACTATTTTTGCCATTCACGTTGGCACCCCCATCTGTGGTTATTGAAATAATTTTGCTTTGGCTAATTTTGTATTTATCTATTATAATTTTTAATTTATTGAATATTTCTTTTCCTGTTGATTTGGTTTCGAGCGTTGACATTTCTAATATAAAATTATGTATTATATTTTTTTGGTTAATTGTACGACAACAAAAAATGTATTGAGAATGTGAGTGTATCTTTGACTCATCAGTCTGGATTGAAACATATTTAGATTCTTGTATTATGTATAACTTTTTCTCTTCTTCTTTTTCAAATACAGTTTCTGATAATCGCCTCATTGATGTTCTTGAAAGACTTAGTTTATTTATTGTGTTAATTCCAAATTCTTCGGCAACTTGAATAATTATTTGTATTATATTTTTAATTACATCTGTTTTACATAATAAATCATTTTCAGAAATTATTTGAGCGATAGTCATGTTTGTTTCTTTTATCTTATTTTTTGTGTTATATTCATTTTCTAATTGGTTTTCAAAAACATAAGAATCAATTCCTTTACCTTCACAGTTATTTGAAAATCGTTTTCCATTAAAATACGTTTTTATCAAACATTTTTTAAGTTCTATATTATCAAATATTGTTTTGTGTTGTAAAGTATGTAAATTTAAACCATTACAGCTCATAATTTTACCACAAATGATGCAATAAAATGTTTTAGTATCTATTTTATCCGCCAACTTGTCTTGTATCCAATCTACTTTGACAGGCATTTGTTTTATTTGTTTCAAGATTTTATCTTTATATAATAATATAATAAAGAATCCAAAATGAATTCTTCTTTTTAAAATTCAAAATGTCCTTAAATTACGTCTTTTAAATTATTTATCGTTTTATTTCTTTTTTTTCATTTTTGGTAAAGAATAATTCTGTTTTGTCTGATATAATAAATTAATTAAAAAAATCAATGTTATTTACCATTTTTTTGTTTTTTAAGTTTTTTTTCAATAACATGATCGTTTGGCCGACCCTGTTTTAAATAAAAAAACATCAGTGATGTTGTTAAGATGAATCGCTACTTTTAAATTTATTTTTGGGTTCTACATATAAAGTAAAAATGACTTTATTAATTTGTATGATTATGTATCGAAACTCTGGTTTATTATTTAAAGAGAACATCACCAATCTTTTTTTTGTCATTAGAAATATCCATCACTAAATGAAAATTGTTTGCAAAAAGAATTTCTTGTGGAATTATAAGAGTCTACCCATAGACTCTAAGTAAAGGTCCATCTTTCAAAGGCTCGAGGCATCTAGTTGAAATTAAACTATATAACAATAATAAAAATATCATATTTTTAATAACTTGACTCTTGTATTTCAACTAGATTTTAATTTAAAAAAACTATAACAAAAATATAATAATTATTTATCCTTGTCTTTTTGTGTTTTACTTAAATCGAATTGTTCTTAGTCTTAAAAAGTAATTGCACTCACCCGATCAACTTCAAGTTGTTTGTTTTCAGATCTTCACCAGCCTTTCTGACCTGATCTCCCAACTCAACAATTCTCATTTAGCAGTTTCTAACTGATTGTTGTGTATTCTTCAAATCGGCTTGTGTCTTACCAATTTGAGTTTTAATTGTATACTCCTTCTGTTCGAATTCTGCAAGCTTTCTCTCAGCCTCTTCAACCTTTCTGGCATACTGTTTATGTTGTTTCTAGGCTTTAGCGGCCTCGTTTTGTGCTTCTTCCTTTCTGTTTCGATTCCTTTGAATTCTGTTTCGTATTTCGCTTTCAATTTAGCAATAGAAGCTCCAGTAGCACCAGTTTCGTCCACCAATTTAGCTTCTGAATTGGTGACTTTAGCTCTAAGTCTTTGAGTTTCCTTGTCGGGTTTTTGTTTCATTGCTCTCTCCTTCTCAAGTTCCTTCTGTGAATCAGCCTTTCTTGCAGCATCTGCACTGTCAGCTTTCTGTCTTTCTTCATCAAGTTAGGCTTGGATTTCAGCAATTCTTGCATTCAACATGTTCTTCTCTTCTTCTTGAGCAACAGAAGCCGGTGCACTGATTTGGACTTTAAGTGATGAGACTTGTGCATTGAGTGCTTTGACTTGGTCTTCCATCTTTTTTCTTCTATCAGATTGGTCAGCAGCAGTCTTCTCGGCCTTAGCTTTGTCGTCCAATGCCATCTTCTTTTGTACTTCAAGTGCCTTAATATGTGATTCATAATTCTCAATCTTCGAAGCGTCTTCGACAGACCATTTTTTCATATTCTTCTTAGCAGCATCAAGTTGGGTGTTCTAATCTTTCAGCACAGCAACCGCCTTCTCCAAATCAGCAATGTCGTCTTCCTTGATGACTTCAGTTTGGTCGATATTTGAAGTCCCAACTGGTCTATATTCAAGGTCTTGTACTTGTTGTTCCAAATCGGCTATTTTCTTCTTGTCCTTAGCTGTTCTGTCTCTTAATTCAGTCAACTCGGTGTTGTTTGCTTCTAAGTCTCTTTGTAACTTTTTGATTGAACCATTCAAATTGTTGGTCTCATCTTCGTGTGCTGAGACCAAGTTAATGAGTTGGTCATATTCGTCTTAAAGCTTCTTCTTTTCAGAAGAAAGTTGGTTTTTGTCATTCGCCAAGTTCTTCACCTTCTCTTTAATTTCGTCGTTTTCCACTTTCAACTTCTTTGCCTCCTTTTCTTTCACAAATTTGTCCTTCTTGACTGTTTCAAACTCTTCGTTGGCTTCAGCGACTTCTTGTTCTCTTCTTGTGATAACACCAGTGAGTTCGTCGACTTTGGCACTCAGTTCCTCAATCTTATTATTGCTCTTATTAACAGTTCCATTGAGTTTCTTTTTATCAGCAGCATCAGTGTCGGCATTCTTCTTGAGATAGTCAAAGTTCTGTTGGAGTTGGTCGAGTTCGGCTTTAGTTCTTCCCAAATCGTTTTTATAATTCTCAACTTCTCGTTTGCGGCTTCAACTTCTTCGTTAAGAGAAACTTTTTCTCTTTCAGTATCTTTCAATTTGGCATCGACAACAGATTTTGCTTTAGTCAAATTGTCATTGTCAGCTTTCAATTGAATCAGTTGTTTCTCTTGAGCATCTTTCCTTTTATTTGTGTTCTCGGCATCAGCCCCAAGCTTGTATTTCTTATCAGCAGTTTAGGCAAGTTGTTCGTTCAAGTTATGAATTTCAACGTCTTTTTGATTTAAATTCGATTTTCAGTCTTCTCCATAACATCTTTACAATTTTCTCCATGTCATCCTTCAACGCTTGGATTTGAGCTTCGTAGTCGGCCTTCTATGGTTTCAACATATCAGAGTCATTCAGACCATCTTCAATTCTCTTAACCAACTCAGCAAGTTTTCTGTTCTTATCTTCTAATTCGTCTTTCTCTGAGTTCAATGATGAAATCTTCTTATCACTTGCATTCTTTGCTGAGGTCAAAGCAGTAGTCTTGGTCTTCTCAGCTTGCAATTGTTGGTTATACCCATCTCTCTCGTTTGAGACCTTCTTGTTTTGAGCAACTTGTTGGTCGAGTTTCTTCTCGGTATCGTCAAGAGCCAATTGAGTCTTTTTCAAATCATTTTTAATATTGGCAAGATCATTTAAACAGCTCCGGAGTTTTCTTTCTGTGCGTTGACATCAGAAATGGTGTTTTGCAACATCTTGACGTGTTTCTCCAAATCAACAATGTCGTCTTCCTTCTCGTGCAATTGTGTCTCAAGATCCTTTGAATTGTCTTCTTTAGCTTCAAGTTTCTTTAAGTCAGAAATTTCGCCTTCCTTATCTTCAATGTCTTTGTTCAACTCAGTGATGACACTGTCCCTCTGAGCAATAGTCGCTTTGTGCTCAGTAATTTCGTTTTGAAGTCTTTGATTATCAGCTTCAAGTTTCTTGTACTCAGTGGTTAACTTGCCCAAGTCTTCCTTTCCTCTCTTAATATTACCTTGGAGTTCCTCAATGTGTTCTTCGTCTTCTTGTGACTTCATATCTGCTTCGTCAAGTTTTACTTTTTTGACTTGATGTCTTTTTTAAGCTTTTTTGGACTAAAGCTTCCAAGTCGATGTTCTTGATTTTCATCTCAGAAAGTGCCTTCTCGGCGGCTTCTCTCTTTGCAATTTCTTCAGCAAGCTTTTTCTTCAAAATTTCAATTTCTTTGTCCTTGGCTGCGGTTCTTCGTTGACTCCTCTCCTTTTGAGTATTGGTTGGACCTTTTGGAACAATCTGAACCAAACCCAATTTCTGAATTGGTACCAAGTGTGAATGGTGTCTTGAATGACAATAATGGCAATATGTTCATCGAGTTTTTGTTCAATAAGCTTTCTTTGTGCGATGGCTTTTGCACACGTATGAAACCACCAACAATTTCAGTGACTCTATTTTCTCTAATCTCTTCAATTTCAGCAAGAACACCAACCTTGAAGAAAATCTTGGTCTTACCAAATCTGAATTCTTCAGTGTAACTTTTGCCATCCTTCTTGTACTTCTCACAAATTAATTTCATGAGTTCTTTGACCACTGGCATAGCATCTGAAGTCACTCCACTTGCTGTCACCTCAAACACTGAGACTGGCAAGAAGTGTCCACTTGCAAATTATTCATTGATTCCATCAGTTGCTATCATCAACCCAATGTTCTGTGTCTCATAATCAAAGAAAGCTCGAGCAGACTGTGGTATCAATGTTTTGGTTCATGTGGTTGATGCTTATGTCCCAGTTATGGCAAATGAGTACACAGACGGTCTTGCTAAAGAAGCAGTCAAATTAGTCTTCGACGACTTGGTCAAGTCATTCAACAGGGTTTTGTTGCAAGAGAGAAGATGCACAATGCAACTACCATTGATGGTATGGCCTTTTCTTCCACATTCCTTGGGATTGTTCACTCAATGGCTCACAAAACAGGAGCCGCTTTCCGTCTTCCATATGGTCGATGTGTTGCAATGTTGTTGAAGTCTGAGACTATGGCTGAGGGAGTTGAAGTTCTTGCAAAGGCAAAAACTTCAACACATATTGTTTTTTGAAAAATAAATTTTTTGAGATAATTGAAATCCAAAAAATACACTTTCACAACTCTTTATTTATGGTACATTATTATAAATAAACTATTCGTTATAGTTTTATTTTGAAATAATTTCCACTATCTCTGTGTTAAAAATAAAAAACAGTAAAAAAACGGGAAAAATAGGAATATTTTACTTGAAAACAAATTTGTTATTCTAAATTTTATTAATGATTATAATAAACGCCTGATCTTAATAGCGTCAGCAGTGCTTTTTACTTATATTATTTAAAACAGTTAATTAATTATATTGTCAATTGTAGTATTTTAATTAAGTGATTATGTCTATTGATCTTTTCTTAATATTTTGCTTTAAAAAATAAATTGTGTTACTAAATTATTAAATTATAATTAATTATATTAACAGTTGTGCTATTTGTTTTTAGATGAAAAATATTAATTTTGATATGATTTTAATAGTTAATTACTATAGTTTGTAGTTTGAGAAAACCCATAATAAATAAAAATACCAAACTACTTTTCAATTAACATACTTCAAAAAGATACAACGGGACACAAAGAGTAGATATGCCGCAACTGTCGAAACTTGTTGCAAAAGCGAGTTGCGGCGTCGTGAATCCATCTCCAGAAGATACAAGACACAAAGAGGAGATGCCTGAAAAAAGAAACATCGAAGATATCCTAATCGAGTGTTTGTTCCAGTGTTAGGTTTGAGGGGTGAAACCCGTTCTTTCTTTACGTCTGTCCGACCCTTCGAAAAGACAGATTTTGTTAAAACTGTGTACATTAATTCAAATTGTGATGACGTGGCAAATTACAAAATACACATTTGGAGTCAACATGTTGCAATGTTTGAAAATGTAAATAAAAAGTGACAAAAAAGTCAGTTAAGTTGGAAGACAACAACACTCTTTGGTGTAAATTTCTCATTGTCAGTCAACTCGTTGTGTTTGGCGGTGTAAGTAGATGGATTGCAATGACTCCCATTTACACCTTTCTTGTACACTTTTATATCACGACCATTACCAAATATAAAGAGATATTGACTGTCTTGAGAATAAAGATAAAATTCGTAATTGTCATTTCCACTCTTACCAAACTTTTTTGGATTCAGAGTGCCGCCTCTCACAAGTGAAAAGATGTATGAACTGCCACTGCTGATCCAATTGTCAACAGCATTTATATTTCCAGTAAACACGCCACCAAACTTGTTGTGATTTGTGTCTTCTACCAAAAAGCATAAATTGCTTTTGTTCATAATTTTATTAATAAACACTGAGGTGGTCTGTGACCAGTTGTCTATGTCTGAATTAAACACAACACTTTCTATTCTGTACCCCATCAAATTTTCAAGATTGGCTTTTTCTTCAAGTGTGATGTGTTCACGCTTTATTCTCTCTTCTTCTTCTTCATCGTGTTGTTTCTTTAAATTGATGAATTTCTCCGATTTCATAATTTGATCAATTTTATTGTTTTTTGCTTGTTTGATTCTGTTAATCTCATCTTCAATTGGTTTAATATCCATTTTGCATTTTTCCTCATAAAGTGCAATTCTAATATTGAATATCTCATACAACTTGTCGTTGTCATTCTGTATTGAATATGAAGCCATCTCGCTTTTGATTTTGTTGGATGTTTTGTCCAAATCAGTGACAATTGTGTTGAGTGAAGTTGTGATGTTTTTCTTTCGATCAAATACCTCATCGAGTCTGTCGAAGTGTCCCTCTGCATTTTCAATGCGTTGATCAATGTCAAGTGACTTGTTGTCAACAAAGTTGTATTCCCTTTTAGATTTGTTGAGGTCTGACACCGCCTTTGCTGCGTTAGTGCAGAGTGCTGAGAGTGCTGTCAACTCGTTTTCCATTGTATGTTAATAGAGTTTATTTGTTTTTATATTTAATTTTTATAAATCTCATTCAAAAACATTATTACCTCATACATAATGATTTTTTCAATTAAAAATCAAATATAAAATATTCAAACTTACATTAAATGATTTTAATTGTAAGCAGGGTCTATCAAGGAACAGGGAAAAATTTGGAACTTGTCCCAAAAATGCATTTTAAAATATAAAGGGGTATATTTTTTGTTTTCATGCCAAAAATAAAGTAGTTTTAGTAAAATTCATAGTATTGTTTGTTTTTGAGATCTCCAAAACCTTTTCTTCACAGATAGAAACTTTTTGCTGTGGTCGTTTTTCTACTTAAAATGACAGTTAACAATTAAATTATAAAATATTAAAATGTATAGTATATAAAAAATATTTTAATAATATAATATTTATACTATATAAAATAAAACTATTAATTATAATTGATAATATTATAAAATATTAGAAATTGTTTAATAAAGATGAAATAAAAAATTAACTTGTTAAAATATAATTTGTTATTAACTATACTTTTAAACATGGTTAAGTGAAATCAACCAGAACAATACTGTCACCTTGCGATTACTTGTTAAAATTGATTTATTGTTGCTTTTCATCACTTTCAAACATCATATAGTGGTTAAATATACCAAATTAATATAAAATGTAATAGAATGGACAATAACAAAACATTGAATCACTATACTTGGTATTGTTGATAAAATTAGTTTGTTTTATTAACGTGCAATACTTTGATAGAACAGAAGAATCATTATTCGCAAGTAAATAATTAAAACGATTCTGTTCATCGATGGTGCATAAACAGAGTGTTTGAAACAAAACAACTTCAATTAACTTCATTCTATTGTTTAATTATTTATAATTTCATCAAAGCTATTATTTATTCATATATTTACTATATTTATGAGTATTTTGTTTTATTGAAAACTGTCTGTCAGTTTGTTTATTGGTGTGTTTTAATATAGATCACAATTATTTTATTTAAATTAACAATCATGATAATAATTATTGATTTTATTTATAAAATGTTAAAGAATATTATATAAAAGTACTATAATAAACAATGAAAAATATAGTAAAAGATAATATTTATTGTTATTAGTTATAAACATTTAAAATATTTCCAAAACAAAACCAATAAATGAAAATATTTGTAAAACCAAACAACAGAAAAAGAAACCAATCTTTTAGTTGAAATATTTATAATTCGTGTCTATTAAATTAAAGTTTTTAATAAAAACATAGTTGTGTTGTGGTTGTGCTGCTGTCATATACAAGTCAATTGTAACCGCTCTATGTTTGTTTTTGTACTTAAAAATGATGTTTTAGAAAATATAAAAGAAATTAAATTGAAAGTATCATAACAAATTATTTATTATTATATAGTCAAAACAACACAATCCAATTATCAAAAACTAAAATGTAGCATTTCAAAACAGTTAGTTTATACTAACAATTTGAACGTTAAACATCGTTCGAGTAAATCAACACAACCGAGTAATTATTACAAAGCAAATTGTCATTATTCAATTCATTCGTGAATTGAATTAATCTCTATGTACAGAGATTAATTAATGTAAAGAAATTTATGTGTATAACCAACAGAGAACTATTATGGTTGTAACTTACATGTGTATTGTCTGCAAATTCAGGATTCGTTCCCAAATAGAGACGTCTCATATTTTAATTGAATTCTTTGTTATTGATATGAATTTTAATAGAAATTAAAATAGAAACTAATAACACATGGTTGTTTATTATAAAATATAGTTTATCTTGTCGAGTTCGACTTTTTTGACTAACTTTTTTATTAATAAAATAATTTTATTTCTTTATCAACAATAAAAGTATTTTCAAAAACTAAATATACAGTCGAATTAGGTCTACTTGTGATGGTATTATTTATGGAAGTGATATTGTTTTTATAAAATGTACAACATTTTTGATAAATATGATGAATTAATTGAGAAGTGATAGTAATTTGTTTGAAAAATTGTGAGTATTTTTTATAAAAGTGATAAATAATCGTAAAAAATGATGGGAAATTATATCAAAAATGATGGATTTTTCTCAGAAATGATGCAATCTATTAGAGAGTGACCAATAATATTTTGAAAAAGTTTATGTTTTTTAACACTTGTGACAGATTATTTTATAGATATATCTGTCGTTAATTACTGAAACTTCCCATTATTTTAAACAAAAAATGAAATAAACTCAAATAAACAAAAAATATTACAAAAGATGTGTTTACATTGTTTTTTCTTTGAGTTATATGTACTATAAAAACAACTTTAATTTAAATAATAATCAAATCTCTCGTTCACTCACATATCTTGATGCAAGAAATCCAATTGTTCAAAGCGATTATATAGAAAACCTTCCACAACTTCTACAAGGTGAGCCTATGGTATCACGGCGTATTATTCCTTTTATACCACTACAATCTGAAAGAAGAAAAAAAGAACGACCAAAAAATGTAACAATTATTACACAAGTCAAAAGATCATACAATAGAGTATTGCTTTCTGATAAGTTTGAATTAATTAAATTATTTCAAAAATATAAAAATACCGTTAAACCGGAATTCTATTGTACCAAAGTTGGTATTAAAG